GCTGCCTGCAGGTCCTCCCCCCCCCCCCCAGGGAGGGTCTGTGGTGTGCTTGGGGGCATGGGGGCTTTGGCACCAGCCTGGCGTTGACCCTGTGCCGCCTGTGCTCTGTCTCTTTGTCTCCCCTGGACAGTTCTACCTCCTGTGTTGGTGCCACGCCACACAGAGATCCCGGCCGAGTTCCCCCCGCTGGATGACTACAGCCATTCCATCCCCGAAAACACTAACTTCCCCGCGGGCATTGAGCCCCAGAGCAATATTCCAGGTAGGCACGGGGGCAGCCCTGCCACTGGCCTGAGTGGCATTGGATCTGTCACCCCACTCTCTGTCCCCCTCGGCTGTCCCTAGCCACCCTCTCTCTGTACACAGCACTGGCCTGAGGGCCCCTGACTCAAAACCGCATCCCTGTTGGGAGAGGACCCATGGCCTTAGCTCCCTGCTGGCTAATGATGCTTTTCTTGGCATGGAGGAGCAGCGTGACCCTTCCGCCCAGCCTCGGTGCAGTCATTTATTTTGGAAGCGGAAATCGCAACACTGTGTTTGTCTCACCGCCCTCGTGGCCTGGACCGCACTGGCGTTCGGGCAGGATCCCCGGCGGGCTGGGGGCTGCAGGGGCCAGAGGCCGTGCGTGCCGAGAACCGGCCAGCCCGGCCCCGTAAGTGAGCCTGGGCCTCAGGCCCCTGGCAAAGGGTCACTGGGTGGGAGCTGAGGCCAGCTTTGAGTTTTTACTCTGCAGGGAGAAATGGTTCCACTGTGAAAGAATAGAGATGTTTTTAGAAGCCCCGCATTTACATGCAAATAATGTGTGAATCACCAGCACTCTTGGGCATGCAAGAAAGCTGTGCTTGGCAGCACTTGGGCTAGTCAGGGCGACTTTCACTTGCCGGGGCAGTATCCTGCTGCATCCCTTTTAGAGTGGTCTAATTTGGACATGGCTTTCACCCTAGGTTAGTTTACTGTGCTGAAGTTGGCTATGGGCCTGTGTGCTCGGGTCAGAGAGTTAGGGAGAGACCCACTTTCCAGCCTTTTCAGATCCTCTGCAGGTAGTGCTGGTCTCTAGGGGGTAAGTCATCCACTCCCTGTTTAAATAGCAACCTTGGAGGGCTAAGGTAGGGTCTGGGGGCGGTTTCTGAGAAATAGATCACACAGTCTCTGCCATCACTGAACTTGCCACCTAACTGGGGAGCCAAGACACTCCCCCTAGAGACAGCCAATAACTACAACAACGGGTCTGCACAGGAGATGACAGTAGGGGCCAAAGGGTGGGTTTGAGCTCTTCAGGGGACAGAGATGGGTGAGGCTCTCGCAAGTCCGGAAGCCTCCCTGGAGGAGGTAGGGCTTAACCCTGACCTTGAAGGACACGGAGAAATTAGCCTGGCAGAGCTGTAGGAATGGGCCTTTCAGACTTGGGCGTTGGGGATAACATCAAGAAAGGCAGTTATGATTCAGGTGGGGAGCCGGAGGTCACCGGTGTGAGAACAGCAGAACGCAGGAGCTGGTGTCCTCACTCTGTGAGCCCCAGAGTTCCTCCAGCCCCCGATCCTGGCACAGTAGTGTAAGTGGGGGATGCATTTGCACACGGTTTCTCAGAGCCAAACGATGGAGGCCTTTTCATAGACCAGGTTTCTTCTGGTTTACAGAGACCCCACCCCCTGGCTACCTGAGTGAAGATGGAGAAACCAGTGACCACCAGATGAACCACAGCATGGATGCAGGTCAGTCATGCAGGGTGTGCTCTGAATCTTAACTGAGTGGCTTGTCCCTCCCTTCTGTCCTCCCTCTTCAACCCTCCCTCCCTTCTACATCTCTCTATCCAGCATTTTTAGAGCAACCACTATGTGCCTGGTGCTGGGCATAGAAGAGGTGATGGGGAGACTGATAGGGCAACCAGCAGTTACTGTGCCATCTTGGATAAGCCCTGACAGAGGATGCCACGTGGCATGCAGGGCACAAAGCAGGGCCACCTAACCTGGCCTGGAGAGGAGCAGTACTTGCAGCATAGGTGTCAGCCAAGCCATCAGGGTGGACCAAGGGTGTGCCAGGCAGCATTGTGGTGGCATGGGCAGGAGAGCCTGGTGCATTCTAGGGACAGTGAGAGCTGAGTGTGGCTGAAGCATGCTCTCTCCCCAGAGTGGGGAGAGAGAGCAGGGCCCGTCACACTGGGGTCCAAGTGTGGCAGACTTTCAAGCTGGCACGGGCAGGCTTCAGGCAGGGTCTGTGCTTCAGTGAGATGTTGCTGGCAGCAGGGCGGAGGGGGGCTCGATCACCTGGAACAGTTCAGGTGGAAGGCGTGGAGAGCCTGAGTGGAGGTAAGGCCTTTTTTGAGGGTCAGTGGAGACCCCTGAAACAACCATTTTTGTGTGGTGACCGAATGTGAACTGTGTACTCCTGCCATGAAGGACCCGGCCTCATTCTGTCCTGCTACATCTCCAGATGTTCCCCGCATCATTTGTTATGGGACCAAATTGGCTCCAAACCAGCAGCTTCTTGAATTGAACCCCAGCTGCCACATAGAACGTGCACTACATGCCGTGTGGCAGGGGTAGGAGGAGGAGGGAGCCAAGCAGATGTTCCATTCCAATGGTGGTGGGCATGCTTGGTACACACAGAGCCGCTAGATGCGAAGCCACCAGCCCCTTCCTCAGGAGAGCTGAAAGAAGAGTGAAAAAGACCCTCATCTTCATTGTGATTATAGCTACTGAAATCTAGCCTGGGCATTGTGGCACCTTGAGGTGAAGCACGTGTCCCAAATGAGTGAATGGCAGTGTAACCCAGCTGGAATGCATCAGCGACCTTCCTGTATTCGATGCCGAGTGATGGCTCCAAGCTTGCAGCTATTAAGTGCTGCTATGGGAAGCGGGCCAGCCAGGCAGCATCTCTCCAGCTGCTGTGTTTCTTCTCACTCTGCTCCCTCTCTTCCCTCCTTGAAGCTCTTCGTGTTCGTAGAAGGATGACTGTCATAAACAGACACAGGCCAGACGAGAGGGTCTTCTGTGGCGAGAGCAGCCAAGTTTTCACCCTCAGCTCTCGTTGCTTCTCCCTCCTCTTCCTCCTTCTGGCTCCATTTTTCTCTGTCTTCTCTCCCTTCTTCCTCTCCTCCCCTAAGTGTGCCTGCAGGGCCCTGTTGTGGACATTCGTGCTTCATCTAAAGTGGAGACTGGGCTGGGCGGGAATGGGAGGTCTCCTGTTTTTTTCTCTGTTCTTCACTCGAAGTTGCCCAATTGGATCCCAGTTCAGTTGCTTCCCTGCCAGCTGAGGTGTGATCGTGTCTCAGTAGGGCCAGGGGATCACCCTGCTCACCCCTGCATGTCCCCTCACATGCACACGTGCCCTTTTAGAACAGTGAGAAGGTCCCATGGTCTTCCTAGGTCTTCATGATTTAGGCCACCACAAAATAGGAAACAAACACTTACTGAGTGCTTACCATATACTAGGCATGGTGTAAGCATGTTTATATAAACAATCCCACTTAATTTTTACATGTCACACAGTAGGTGATATTATCTCCATTTTATACCTGAGGAAAAAAATTAAGGCCTCAGAGAGGTTAAACGCCTTTGCCAAAGCCACACAGCTGATCCGTGGTGGCGTGTCTAGGCTCCATGACTGATTCTGGAACTCTGTTCTTCCAGTAACTATTCCACATTCCCCCTTTGGATTAGTTACCATGGGGAAGACGAAGAAATTCATGGCTCATCCTTGCCCTCAAGGAGGTTGTAGCTGAGTTGGGGAGAAGTACAAGACCTCCCTGAACAGCTCAGGGCAGCATCTGCTTGAGGCCAGATGGGGGCCCAGCCTCAGGACTGGTAGATTTCAGGGGTGGATCCAGGCCCCACAGGGCTGTTGGTAAATATCTAATAACTCTTTGTAGCCCAGGCTGTACAGAAACAGAGGAGGGACAGGCAGGATGTGGCTTGGTGGAAAGGCAGCCACTGGTTTTTTTCTGAAGGCTGATGCCATGTGGGTTTTTTTCTTTTTTCTGGGGATGAAAGGTAGAGAGAAGATAAGAGAGTAAGAAGAATTGGGTAGAATTGGGCTTTCTCCCCTGTGCACCATCACGTCCTGCATAAAATGTCAGTCTGGTTCCTAAGTTGCCGGATTTCTAAGGCAGGTCTGTGAGTTTCCTGAAATTGGCATTTCTAGGTCCCTGAGCCATGGCAGCGGTGACTGGGAGCGGTGACTGGTGAGGTGTGGGAGGCCTGAAGCCCTGCCCGCAAGGGAGGTCTAGCCTTCTGCTGCCTGGGTCTTTGAGCAGCCAGGGAGAGGAGCTACCAGGGTGGGTGGTGTGAGCTAAAGGACAAAGATGTCATCTATCGTAGTTGAGAACTCAGCAGCCCTGTGCGGGAGGTCCTGGTTAGGATCCTAAAACCACCGTGGAAGAGACCTCTGAGATCACCCACTCAGCCCATTCATTCTGCACGTGAAGAAGCTGGGGTCCAGGGAGGGAAGTGCAGGTAATGGTGTGGGGTGGGCCTTCTGGGGCGTGGAGGCTCAGGCCAGGGTGGTCTTCCTGCAGTGTTGATGTAAGTGTTCAGTAATTTGGCTTTCCAGGCCAAGAATATTTTATGAAGTCTCACAACTGTGTCTCACCGCACAGGTTCTCCAAATCTATCCCCGAATCCGATGTCCCCAGCGCACAGCAACTTGGGTAAGTATCTCCTTGTTCACACAACTGGAAGCTCCTGTAGCTGCAGCTCTGGCTGGTGGCCGGTGGCCAGTAGTCGGTGGCCAGTGGTGTGGGGGGCCCCGAAGGTGAGGCTTTCCTCCTACCCCCACCATCAGCCCAGCTCAGCCCATCTGGTTTCTGGTTACGGTGATTCTGTGGTCGCCACAGAATGGGGAAACCTAAGAACAGTGGTGGCAGGAAAGGCAACCATATGCCGGGTTTGTATTTCCCCTGGGTGGCAGTTAGACGTGAGTGAATGAAAATCTCCCAAACCTTATGCTCAGGAGACGAGGGTCTGTGGTCAGGCAAGCATGTGTGTGTGGTTTGGTGCACAGCCACAGGCGTCCGTGCCGACTCCAGCCCCCTGACTTTTATAGACTTGATTCAGATATACTTATTTGGATTTTATCTGAGTATTTCATCTCACAATTCTGTAATTTTTATTAAAACAGTAACATAAAAGGAATTTGAAAAAAAGCAAATGTGCCAATAATGTCACCACCCTAACACAGTGTCTTCGTTTTATCGTGGTCCTTCTGATGTTTGTGGATCAGGCACATATACTTGTGCCCTGCTGTCGAAATCATAGTGCCTGTCTGTTTTTTTCTTCATTCTTTTTTCTCTTGGTCACTTCGTAAACACGTTTCCGTATTTAGATGCCTCGTTTATCACTCTGCATTATCTCATGATGTTTTGGAGTGGCTGGAACATTGTTTCCATGACATTCCTTAGTTGTTGGACTTCTGGGTCAGTTTTTCTAAGATTCGCTTTTCTAACCAAGGAGCGTCCTTCAGTTCTCCAGTGTGGGAGAGGCTTCGTGGGAGTCTTTGTGGAGAAAGGCTCAAAACAAATGAAATACCTATTTAGTTTATATTGAGGGGAATTTTTAATATTCTGATCTGGTCATTTTAGACAATGTGAGTTTGGTTTGTTTTGAGCTTTATTGCTGGGGCTTAATTTGTAGTAGCTGAGGGAGAGAAATAGTTAATGTCCAAGCTCGGTGAATCAGAGTGGGTTGGACCAGCTTTTGAGCCCATTTGTTTCCAGACCTTGACGGATAGCGTCAGATGAACAAATTTATCACTTGGAGTATTGGGAGATGCTTGAAAACTCTTTAAAACAGGCTGACATGTGGGCAGTGTGACATGTGACTTTGGGGGATCTGTTTTAACATCTTTATAAAATAATTTGACTGTGAGTGTTGAGCTTTGCAGAAGGAAGGTCGAATTCCTGATACGAAATGACTGAGTTATTAAAAACAAACTCCAAAGGCTAGAAGCTATGTTAACACTTGAGAAATTAAAGGCCATGACTGTAAACTTGACTCCGGGCCTTCAGCTTTAGAGACTGGCTGATTTAGATTTAATTTCTGAGCCATCTTACCCCACCATGGCCATGGTAGCACTTTTAATCAACAGACTTTGGAGCAGGCACTTGCCTTGGAAACCGTAGAGGTAACAGTCCAGTTTGGAAGTGGCTGCTACCCAAGAGTTGTCCCAGGTGATAGTTTGCTGTGAATTCCGCTGTAGATTGTGTGGACAGGATGACAGGATGATTCGTGATCTTAGACCCTCAGCTGACACAGTACCCCCCACCTACTGCCCCCTTCCTCTGGCTGCTTATCTGGGAGTTGAGAATTCTACTGTTATTTTCTATAAAGGGAGGAACATCCCTGAGCCTGGCTGGCAGAGAGTGGGGCCACTTTGCACTGGTCTCGTTGCACCTCTGCTGGGAAGGTCTGAATCGGGGACGAGTCAGCCAGCGAGTCAGCATTGGGATTCAAGATGGGACAGCAGCACTGCCAGGCCCGGCTTCCTCTCTGCTTGACGAGCCTGCACACCCCTTCACGCCCTCACAACCATTGGCTTTGCTCCCACCCAAAAGAGCGTCATAGCTGGAAGGGGATGAGATGGCGGTGACAGAGATGGGGATGACAATGGCAAACATTTCTTGAGAGCTTACTATTTACTGTTATTCAGAGTGTTCCATGCGTGTTAACACAATCTTCATAACCACTTTATAAGGTAGACGTATCGTCATTTTTTCACAGATTAGGAAATGAAGGAACAGTCTGGTAAACTCGTTCATGCACAGCTAGTGAGTACAGAAGCTGGCTTGGAACGCAGGCCTCCTTGATCCAGAGCACATGCTCCCGTTGCAGCACGACCCTGCCTTGCTGGGCCACTTGGACCAGCTGCCCCCTTGCTCACACAGAAGAACAAGGCTCAAAAAGGGCATTTATTAATTTTTAGTTGGGGACAAATGTCAGGTTGTGGCCCCTGGGTGGGAGCCCTGCCTGCTTGCTCGTCTTACTCATTCGGTGCCCAGGTACTTCCTGCCCAGTCACTGCGTGCCAGTCCAGGTGGGGATCCAAGGAGGAATCTCCCTGCAATCAAGGTGCTACAGCCTTGTCAGGATCAGTAAAGCAGGGCTGCGTAAACCTCAAGACAAGGAGTAGGTGCAGAGGATGCACTCTGAGGGTTCAGAGGGGGCAGTGATGGTGTTCCAGTGGCGACATGCTTCTACTCTGGCCAGGCGTCTCCTCTGTACTTATTCACTGTGTCAGCCTTTGCTGAGTTCCTAGTATGTACTGATGCTGGGGTCCAGAACTGGGAGATTGCCTAAGCATTCACAGTCTGGGGGGGGGGTGGCTGGAGGGGTCCGTGTCACCTGTTATGCATTGTGCTACGTGCCAAGAAAATAAGCACAGAGGAGGGAGCAACTGTGTGTGCCAAGGAGGAAGGTGTGGATGGGGTGGGAAGACTTGGGAGAGGGTGCGTGAGCTATGTGCCAGTGGGCCTTTGAAGGCCAGGTGGGATACAGTAAAATAGAGGAGGGGAGGGAAGGACATTGCACATGGAAGGGCAGGTTGTGCTCTGAGGACAGCTGGTATTGTGGTTTGGTGTGATGGGAGGGGCAAAGAAGATGGGGCTGGAAGGGCTGGCAGGACACTGAGAAAGAGCCCTGAATGCTCTGCTTAGCCCCTCTTGCCTACCGGATAAAGTTGTTGGTGGGTTTTGAGAGGTAGCGGTGGGGCGTATCTGATGACAGCTTTACAAAGATTAATCTGGCCCCTGTGTGGAATCTAAGTTCCAGAGGAAATTACTGGAGGCAAACAAAACATCCCACAAAATCCCACTTAGACAGCTGTTGCTGGAAAGGAGGCTGGGATGAAGGCTTGAGAGAAGTGGCAGCAGGGATGGGCGAGAGCATTTGAGAGATGGCCATGGGCCTGAATGAGCGGGACTAAGTGACCAGCTCGAACTGGATGATGGTGAGGCCTGTTACCCAAGGCAGGGTACCGAGGAGGTGCAATGGGTTTGGGGTGGAAGATGGTGGTGAGTTGCCCGTGCTTAACTATGTCCAGGAAGCAGCTGGAAAGTCAGGAAAGAGGGCAGGCTGGAGGTGTAAATTTGGAAACCCTCAGCATATGTGACAGCCTTTCCCATAGTGGGGGGCAGAGAGGGGCGCTCTGTGATTGAATGAGTTTGGAAAGCCTGTACTGGAGACCCCAAGTTACCCCTGCAGGAAGGAGGCCTATTTGTCCAGCATTCCTCCCATGAACTGACCACTGTTTAGGCACTTCTCTCCTGTTACCCCACTGACCACCCCATAGGACTCACTTTGGAAACATGGACAAAGGTTCGGTCAAGGTTGTGACAGTGATGAGTTCAATGGAGAGGGAGGCTCAGCTAAAGAAGGAAAGAGCCACTCATGGGGGCTCCCTTGGGAAAGGAGGAGGTTGGGGAAGAGATTGAAGTCAGGTAGATGACGGGGCCACAGTAGCCAGAGGGGAGGTGGCCCCTAAAGGACGGTGGCAGTGGGCAGGTTTCCACAGAGATGAAAAGTGAGATGGAAGAAGAGGCCTTGAGTTTGACATCAGCAGTTCAAGGGCAGCCTTTGGAGAACAGTTGGTGGAGGCTGACATCAGTTTGCAGAGGGTCAAAGGGCAAGTGGAAGGTGGGGAGGTGGAGGCAGCAAGCAACGGCAGCCTTTGCATTTCTTCATGGCCACTGTATCCCCAACCGGAACATGGAGACAGGACCCCAGCGAGCTCTTCCTGCAAAAAGATAGGGCCATCTCGGGACATCAGATTATTTCTTTCAAAGGCATTATTATGAAATTGTTATACAAAAAGGAATAACATGTAGGACATCTGGTTTCTTCTTTCATTTCTGCCCCACTCCAGGCATTAGCCCAGGGCTCAGGTCTGGGGAAGGCTGCGTCCCCTGCCACAGGAAAGCCACTTATGGTAAGTGGAGGAGTCCCAGAGGCATGATTGAGACCCAGCTCAGCATCGTGCCCAAGGCAGGCTCTCGGAGGGCCCCAGGGCCTTTATTTTGCAGGGAAGGGGATATGAGCAGGTGATGTTCCTGTTATTACACATCATCCTGGGTGACTCACCTGGAATTTCCTAAGCATTTAAGTCATAAGCATTGGGGCAAATGGAGGGGAAGAAGGAGGCAGGTGGAGAGAGAGGAAAAAGGTAACAAGCTAGATCCTGCCAGATGAGTAAGTTGTTCCCTGCTTTAAAGTGAGACATTTAGGGAGGGGCCTTGACTGAGAAATAAGGTACCAGGGAGGGCCCTGGGGCAGCGGTTGAACTGGAGTTCAAGGAAGATGGTTTCCCAGAATGCCTGGGGCAGAATGTGCCTTCCTGTCCTGCCGGGAGAGACAGGCAGGGGTGGCAGGGCAGCTGCAAGACCGCCAGCCCTGGAGTGAGGACAGGGTCCAGGTTGCAGGCCTGACCTGGTTCCAGGTGTCTTCCTGCTGCTGCACAAGGCTCTTCTCTAAGTAAGGCCTTACCGTTCTTCTCTGGTCTTCCATAGCTTGTGAAATCACAGGCAGGCCACATAATGATGGGAAGTTGGCTGCTGGCTGTACCCTCACTCCTCTGAGGGGCCAACATTGAGACTTTACCACTGTCCTTGGTTGTAGTGAGCTGGTTGTAGGCTAAAAGAGCATGGGGTTCTTCCTTCAACTTGGTTTGTTGCTTTAATCCTCAGAGAAATAGGATGGAATTAGTGCCCCAGATGCTGGGGACACAGCTGGCCTGGGCCTGCAGAGAACTAACCCTCTAATGAAGGAGACAGGTACACAGGTGGCTGGGACACAGGAGGCGGATTCAGCATGGAGCAAGTGAGGAAATGTTTGACGGCTGCCTGAGCTGGGCCTTAAAGATGGAGTCCGTGCAGATGAGTGGGGAAGGGTGGTCCAGGTAGAGGGAACAGCAAGGATGTGGCAGCGTGAACAGACATGGGAGCTGGAGTGTGGAATCTCCCAGACTGAGGTAGAGCTGCCTCCCACAGGTGAGGAGGGCCCAGACAAAGCCAGTCCATTTATGTTTTGACCTGCCTTGCAGTGTCGGTGCTCCTGGCCTTTGCCTGTTCTTCACTTTCAATTTATAGTAGAAAGTTAATTTCCCCCCTCTTTCCTCCCCACCTTTTCCTTTACCGGATTTGAATCTCTTGCACATGTTTTTAATAGGTATCCCTTAATCCAAGTGTTGCCTTCTGGGTTTTATTCTGTTTTCTTTTCCTTAAACAAAACAGAAAGTCTATGCCAGCTTGGAACAGGGCTCAAAACTGAAGCCAGGCAATTCGTTAGGCTGGCAGGGGGCCAGCCATGAATTAAGTGCCCCATGGCACTCGAGAAGTCTGGCCGACACCACGCTGCTGGGGGCAGGGGGCCCGGAATGGCTGGAGCTGGAGATTCTTGTGTCTCCAACACCTCTGCTCCAGGAAGAGAGATTAGCACAGACTCAGAAGTCTGGCTGGGAGCAGGGCTGTTTGAAGGGAAGGCCTTGGGCACGTGTCATTATCTACCACTCCAGGTGTGCAGAGTCTGTGGCCTGAGACACGAAACCGTTCTCCATTGCTGCCTGTCACCTTACGCCCTGTGTAGTCATCCTCCCAGAGGAGCCTTTGAATGGCATGTCTCCAGGTCCTTTTCAAGAAACAGACATATAGCAAACTACTTCGGCGTTTGTTGTTAAGCTCTTGAAACCGGGACTGGCTTGCTTGCTTGATTGATTGGACTGTTGGGGGATTGCCATCTCTCCCTGAGAGATTTCTTTTAAGATTTAGTGCCAGGACAAGCTTTGTTTCTCCTATGGAACTAATAAGCGGTGTCCATCCACCAACCAGAGCCATGTAGCATATGATGTTCTCTTTTTGCCATGTCTGCTAGGAAGCTCAGAGCCAAACTGGATGTTTTTTTAATAGCTACGTAACCTCATGGTTATCCTATTTAAAGTCTTCTCCTTTCCAGGGCCCTGACTTTTTGTTTCTCTTGAACTAAATATGGTGTGGATAAGTCCTTTGGTGGGAAAGAAATAAGATATGCATATGTACAGTTAAAAAAAAGTGCCATAGAAAGCAGAAACTAGAGGTGGTGGCTGTACTTTTTGGTCTGCAGCTCCTGTCACTGAAGTGCCTTGAGGAAGCAGCTGAGGGGTGATGGGAGGGAGGGGGATGGAAGGCAGGAAAAGTCAGGGCTGGCTTTAACTTTGCAGAGAATAGAAAGTGTATGGCCGGGGGTGCTGCTGCAGCTCTGTCCTGCTTCTGAACGTAGGGCAGCTCGTCCAAACAGCACTCTCTGCAATGACAGCTGTCAAACTTTGTCACTGACCTGATTACACTGCTCCCCAAACTGGCATCTTCCTAATGATGTGTCAGGCTCCTCTGTCTACTGTTTTCCACAACACTGTCCAGCATGTGTCTGCAAGTCGCAGGAGTGTTTGGATAAGGGCTCAGATCTGCTTGGGAGGGCCTCTTAGACTAGGACCCCAAGCCCTTCTCTGATTCTGAGACTCCTTGAAGCCTGCACTTCCCCAGAGCGTGGTTCCAGAACTGTATTCTGCAATGGGTGGCCTGCCAGCTCTTCTTGTTTTGACTGGTGGGCTGTGTCAATGTTCCTGGGAGCCTAACTCTCTCCCTCCTGCCTGGACTAAGTTCAGGGAATGCTGGACAGGGCTTTGTGATTTGGGGGTGAGGACTTTGACCTGTTCTACACATTGTCAAGTAAGCCGGGCTAGCCCAGTTCAGCCAAAGCTGCTTACTCAGGCTGACCCATGCCAGAAGTACAGTGACCTAAATGGGCTGCTTTACATGTCTTCTAGTATACTGAAGTCATTGTACAGGCTAGGAAACTGAGGCCAAAGAAGGAGATCATGTCCCCAAGGTCACACAGCAAGGTCAGTAGAGCCTTCGCCTGGGCACTGGTGGCCAGCAGCCCTGATATGTTGCCTGACCACTTTGAATGCTCGGATTGCACTTGAATGTCTTGGTTTGAGTTTTTTCTTTACTTTTTTTTTTTTTTTTTCAGTTTCCGAAGCGACATAGCTTACATTTTAGTGACCACATTGTTTAGAATATAGCTTATCTCATTGGAATGTTGAAACGTCGAGCAAAGCCAGAGCCGGACGTGGCTGACGTGGCTCAGGGCACGGGCCACAGCTGCTCCTGCCCTGCCCCGCCACTCCTCCCTTCCCCATTAGGCAGCTTAGATCCCCTACCTTCATCCCTGTCTTCCCCCCCACCCCCAGGAAGAGAGGAAAGGGGCAAGGGTGCTTTGCCACTCTTGAGATGGAGGTCGAGAGAGGATGTTCTCAAGTTCATGTAATCAAGGCTAATATGATTGTTTTTAACACCACATATGGAGTGTTTGATGTGTGCCCTGCACTTTGCATGTGTTATCTCAGTCCATCCACAAACAGCACTGGTGGCAGAGAGGACTGGGGGCTTAGGTGGCTGCAGGTGGGCGGTTTGGAGCATGAATCTCAGAGAGTTGAGCTGGTTTGCTTACAGGTGTACAGCTCATCTGTGCCTGAACCACGGGTGGCCTCCAGTCCGCCTGGCTTTCCATGACCTGGGCAAACATCCCGGGCCATAGTTTCCAACTGGGGGCAATTTTGCCCCTTTAGAAGACATGTGGCAGTGTTGGGGACATTTCTTATTGTCACAGTTTGGTGGGTGATGTGAATGGTTTACTACTGGCATCTAGTGGGTAGAGGCCAGGGCTGTTGCTAAATATCCTGTGATGTATGGAACCTCTCCTGCTCCCAACAAAGTAATTACCTGGCCCCAAATGTCAGTAGTGCCCAGGTTGAGAACCTAATCCAGGGGGTCCTATCCCTCAGCTGACGCTTCCTGGGTGTGTGTTGCGTGCAGGGAACATCACTGTGTGCATCTCCTGCATGTGTGGTAGCGTTCTTCACCCTTAGCAGGGATAGTGTGCCAAGACCCCAGAAGGAGATCAGGTCCAGTCTGTCCTTCAGGGGCACCAAGGCCCCTCCCTGTAGCAGAATGGCTTCTGATTTTTCTCTCTTGGCCTTTACACACGTCCGAGGGGCATGTGAGCAGGGTGACAGTGAGCGGGGTTCTCGGCCAGTGCTGCCTTAGGCACAGCGAGCCTTTCCTGCCCCTCTCCTGTCAGGCCACACACTAAGGGCTAAAGTGAGGTGGGAGAGACGTCAGCTGGGCCCTGGGACCTCGTGGTGCAGTCGGACAGTCAGGATGCCCACAGACACCAGCTTGCACAAAGATGCACACTAAGCTTCCAGTATATTTAAGAGAGAGCCAGAGAGAGTGACCTGGGCTGAGGGGGTGAGATGGAGGAGTAGGAATGAGCAGGAGACCCCCGATTCTTCAGCACGTGCATGGGATTCAGGTAGGTAGCCAGCAAGGTGTGGTGGGCTTGGCCATCCTGGTCAGGGGTCAGCACAGCACAGAGAAATGGCTGGACGGGGGTGCTGGGCAGTCCTGGTCAGGAGACCGTGGCATTGATGCAAGTGAGGAATTCCGAGGGCCTGGCGGAGGGGCCTGGAGGGTGGAGCCGTTGCAGCGAGGGATGCTGGAGGCGTGCGGGTGGGGCAGGGACCTGGCGGCTGTGCAGCTGGCATGGCTGGAGGTGCGAGGAAGGCGAGGGAGTGCTAGGAACTGGAAGTGGAAAGCTGGGATCGCGTGAGAGGAAACCTCTATTTCAGTGGTTCCCAACTCTTGAGAAGGAGAACCAGCTCCTCATAAGATGGCAGTTTTGTTTTGAGGAGCCCCTGATTGAGACTGTACAGATTGACAACTAGACAAATTCATACTTTCTTTTAGGTGAGTTTGTGTCTTAGCCACCCAACAGCTGGCATCTAGACAAGTTTAGAAAATAGTTTCTGTGATAAGAGACACGGCCCCCGGGCGCAGTCACCAGACAGTGCCTGGAGCGTGTGGTTCGCAGACCCCAGGCTCCATTTGGAACCCACTGGGCTGCTGCAGCCTTTCATTTTAGGCTTAGAAACTGCTGCTCAACAGGCTACAAGTTTGCCCAAGGCCATGCAGAGCCAAAAACTGGAAGCCTTTCGAGGACAGAGATTAGTCTGGGTTACTTTGGGGACCTTGGAAGAGAGGCTGGGAGAGGGCCGTGTAAGTGAGAGCGCACCAGGTCTGTGCACCAGGTCCGTGCACCAGGTTTGCCCAGGTGCCGGTTGGTGCCTGGTCTTCTTCAGATTTGGCCCAGCCCGTTCTTGAAGACTGCTTCAATCCACGTCTAGGCCAGGCTCGGGGAAGGAGGGCCTGTACAAGCTAACGATAAGTGAAATCAATGGCTCTTTACACACATAGAGTTCAAGGCCGATGGAATGCTCCTGCAGATTTGAGTCTCTTGCTGTGTTGGATCCTATAAGTTTTATACTCTACAATAAAAGGCACGGGGGCAAAAGATTATTAATACCCTCTGAGAGGTGGAAAAGAGTCTTCCAAGCATCCACGGGACCCCATCGAGGGAGCATGGGGCCTGGGGTGACCTGCTGACCCAGTTGCCCACGCTGTCTCCACAGACCTGCAGCCAGTCACCTACTGCGAGCCGGCTTTCTGGTGCTCCATCTCCTACTACGAGCTGAACCAGCGTGTTGGGGAGACATTCCACGCCTCGCAGCCGTCCATGACGGTGGATGGCTTTACCGACCCCTCCAACTCGGAGCGCTTCTGCCTAGGGCTGCTCTCCAATGTCAACAGGAACGCAGCGGTGGAGCTCACACGGAGGCACATCGGTAACCAGGCAGTCGCACTCCCCACCTCTCCTCCCACCCCAGGCCCCTGCATGAGCAGCCTCTGCCCCATATCTCACCCCCATCCTCACCCCTACCTCCAGCTGCACTGTGCCCCCTGCTGGGGTTGGGGAGGGGACTCACTCCCCCCATGTGGGCCCCCAAATTCTGTATTGCCTCATTTAGGGGCCAGGCGGGGAGAGTTCAGGTTGCTTGGTCATTCCCACTCAAAGATATAAATAATCTGTGAAAATTTGGAAGCCACAGAGGAACATACTTCACTTAAGAGGTCAAGAAAGGGAAGTCTATGAGAAAGGCAACATATGGAATTGTTTTAATAAAAATACCCTTGAAGTACAGGTAAGTTGATAAGTAGGCAGTCATCCTTGGAAGAGTGATCTGTTGTTAATTTCATATTTGATTATTCTAGACAACTTAAAAAAGGTAGAGACAAGAATTGCCCACTGCCCAAATACCACTACTCTTAACAGTCCGTCTTCTAACACCCAGAACATAAGGAAAAGATCACTTTGTTAGTTTAGGGGAAGATGACACTGTGCTGTGTATCACTCGGTTGGCTCATGAAGTTATTGTGCTAAGGATGTTTGTAATTTTACGATCCAGAATCACAGACTGTCAGCACTTAGAAGGGCCACAGAGATAGCGAAGTGGGATATTCTCAGACATTGTCCTGCAGCCTGGAGCCCCAAGGGTGGCTGAGGGGCCCCGGAGGCAAACTCAGGAGCTGGCAGGGCAGCAGAGGGGGAGCTGGCTCCACTTCAAGTGGGGGTGGACTCACAGATGATGTCATTTGGAGAGAGGACTCTGTAGTTAAGAGAAGATAAGTTTGGAGCCATGGCTAGGGCCCTGTGCTCATTTTCCAGGGAATAACCTGATGCCTGGGAGTGGGGGTGGGGAACAGCTGTGCTGAGCCACATAGTCAGTCAATGACAAGCAGCCCCCAATGTCAAACCCCTGTCCTTCTCAGACAGTTACTTGTTTGGTTTTTTTTTTGTTGTTGTTTTACTTTTAAAAAGATACTAATTCTGGGTAGAATTCACAGATGTTTACTTATTATCTTTATACTTTTCTGTATTTTAAAAATAATTTTTTAAAAAATTACCAAAACAAAACAAACGTTTTTGGTCTGAGTCTTCCATCCGCACTTCTTCCCCTGCTCTTGGCCGATGTGACGCAGATCCCCGTCCTGTGACTCCAGGCCTCCAGCACCCAGCACGTCTACATGACACCACACCCTATAGGACTGAGACAAGAAGAGAGCAGTGGGGGGATGGGACAGTAGTGGGGATGGTAGGTAGGTCAGGGGACGTCAGGTGGCACAGATCAGTCACCTGGTTTCCATCCCACTCAGTGTTGGGCCTGTAAAATCTGGCTCCATTTTCCGGCCCTCTTCCCCAGGAGTAGAACACATACTTTCACATGCAGGAGAATGTCCCCTGGCTGAGCAGAGAGGTCACTGTCAGAGTGTTTATGTAACTGTTTGAATTGCAGAGCCAATTTAAAAATAATTTCTGTCCATCTGGAGTAGATTTAAGAGATGAAAGAAAAGTAAATGATATAAACCTATGGAATGTTTTAGAAAAATGCACTGAGGAGAGAAAGGTCGGAGGTAGCACTGAGCTATCCCCGCAGTGAAGGGTTCCTGGGGCGTCTGCTTCCTCAGAAGGAGCCGGGCAGGTTTACTGAGCAAACCTGACTCTTGGAGTGGGAAGGGGCCAAGTGGTGGTTGTAGCAGCAGCAGCAGCAGCTGGCACTTATCAGGCACTTCCGTGTGTCTCACAGTAACCCCGTGAGGTAGGTGTTACTATTACCCACACTCCAGAGACAAAGCAGCTCAGGGTCACAGGCTGAGTAACTTGACTGAGGCCCATGGCTGGTCAGTGGCAGAGGCTGTCATTGAGACTTAACCCTTGCTCTTTTCTCCTGTCATCTGCCTCCCTCGGCTTTAGGAGCCCACCGTTGCCCAGGATTTCCCCTACCTGGGTTTTATGCTGGGGCTCTGGTCCTGTTTGCCTGGGGAAGCTGGCAGAGAACCAGCCGTTGGAGCACCTGCTGCAGCTCTGCCTCCTTTGCTAGCCTCAGCTGGCCCCAGGGCCCCTGTGTGTGGGCAAAGGCGCTCTGGTCCAGTCTCACCTAATCTCTCTAGGGAGAGGTGTGCGGCTCTACTACATCGGAGGGGAGGTCTTTGCAGAGTGCCTCAGCGACAGCGCTATTTTTGTCCAGTCTCCCAACTGTAACCAGCGCTATGGCTGGCACCCAGCCACCGTCTGCAAGATCCCACCAGGTAAGCCACCCACACACCCACCCCTGCCCTGAGGTCCTCTCCCAAGGTGCATGCCTGGGACACTGGAGAGAGTCCACCTTTCTTACCTTTTCTCCTCACTGGTGTTTGCATTGTCAATGTGGACATGATTCGACTGGGTTTTCCCTCTGCCCAGCTATCTGACTGTGCTTTCCCTGAATCTCCAGGGAGCAGACGCAGCATCTACTAGATCTGCCTTTAACCTGTGGGTGCCTGCCCATTGCCCTGTGTGCATAGGTGCTCAGGCAGTGTGGTTTCCTTCCTTCACTCATTCATCCCACAAGCATGCATAGCATGTGGGGCACCGTGCCAGGTGCTGGAGTGGGTGGGGCCTTGCTACTGTCCCCACAGACCTTACAGACCTGTGGGACTTATAAGACAAAGACACGAGGGAGTTTAATACTAGGGAGGGGTGTTAAGCATCAGGCAAGCAGCACAGATAGGGAGAAAGCACAATGAACCATCAGGATGGATCAGGGAAGGCTTCATGGAGGAGAAAGCATTCAGGCCTTGAAGGATGGGGAGATTTAGGCTCAGGGAGATGGTGGGTGGAGCCCGTGAGGGCCTTCTAGGCAGAGGGAACAGTATGGGCAAAGGCCGAGAGGTAATGGGGTCAGGGCAGGTATGGGCGGCACTCTGGCTGGAGAAAGGGCCAAGTAAAAGACAATCAGGGGAGACATTTAAAGAATGATGGGACCAGGCCGTGGAAAGACATGAGAACATGTTTATTCTGGGGAACTCGTGAGTGTTTTCTGAGTGGGACTGATGAATCCCACCTGTACCCCAAGAAGATGTGGCAGGCTGTACCCCAGAGGGTGGTTTGGACAGGGCCAGGCCTGGACAGCCAGGTCAGGCAGGTGGCTGATCCTACCTAAGGCCTCTTCAGGCAGAAAGCCCCGGCCAAAGCCCACTTCTCACATGGCACGCAGCCACTGAGCATGCAGCCCGTGGAATGTGGTCTGTGACTGGCTGGTAGAGCATGTGGCCTGGGTCAGGCCGTTGCCTGTGGCACGTGTGTGGTATGTCCTTTCCTGCCCTCTTAGTAGCAGATGATAGTGGAATGGTGGGCCATGTGCAGGGTAAACGGGAGAATGCAGAAGTCAAATAACAGCGCTCCATGTTTTCCAGAGCATTTTGTGGCTGCGTCTGCAGAGTACATTTATATCTTTGATCTCATTTAGTCCTCTCCAGTTTTTCTGGCTCTACAAGTAAGGAGATATGTTGAGGAGACAAGTTCAGAGAGGTTAAACCACCTGCCCAAGGACACAGCTAGTAAGTGGTCGAGCCAGGATGGAGCCCAGCGCTGATGGGCTGACTCTGGAGTCTAGTGCTCTTCTGCTTGGCTCTGCTGGGGGCCGGCACCCAGTCTTCTGCCCTGCTCCACCTCACTTTCCCTTGGAGAAAATGAGGCTCAGTTGCATTCTTGGCATTCTGCCCACTGCCTTCCCCAGCCCACCCCCATCTTTTGGGTGAGGGCTGAGTTGGCTCCGGTATCATTTGTCAGCTCACAAAGTGTCAGAGCTGGGGGGACTTCTGAGGCCAGCCCCTCATTTTACAGAGGAGACACAGGGTCACACAGAGAATATGACCAGCCCAGAGTCACACAACAAGATTAGGAGCTCTGTGTTGGGCCACTCATAAGTGTCACCTCAGCTCACCTTTTGCTTATTTCCGGCATGTGCTTTTGTCTTTATTTTTCTGGTTGACACATTCCTGGCACTCAGGCAGTAGGACTTCAAACAAGAAGTTTATTTTAAACTTTATTTGTGCCTGTCTCTAGTTTTACTGTCTGGAGAATTAGACACACACCTTCACTTTACTGTGAATGTCGCCTCAACCCAGCCTTGTGCCCAGAGGCCAAAACGTGGCCCAGATCTCTCACTCCCTCCTGGCCCAAGCATGAGGCAGATTCGTCAGAGGAGCCTGGGTGGAAGGTGCAGGGGCGCTCTGCCGAGCTTCCTGCTGGAATGGCAGGCCCAGTAGCCTTGCAGCCAGCCTGTCTCTGCCAGCACTCCCTGCTGTCCCACGGCCAGAGCGCCTGTGCCCAGGTGGGCAGCCAGACTCCACACACTGCCTGGGCATCCTGGCTCAGTCCCTTCTCTCTAGTCCCTGGAGTCCTGCTTTGGCCCCTCTTCCCACGGCAGGACCACCTTTCCAAACCACCTCCTTCTTTCTCGGTAGCACGATTTGCAGTCTTCCTTCTCAGCACGCCTGCAGATCTAGGAGTTGGAGCTTCCGGGCCCGCTTTTCATTTCCCCTCTCACATTGTCAGCTGCATCTCTCCAGTGAGGGTGATGGATTAAAGGGTGGGGACCGAGTGGGCCCATCCCTCGCACAGTGCTGAGCATGGAGTATGTGGCTACTGCACCAAACGGTCGTGTGCCCCTTGCACCAGCTGATGCAGGGATTGCTCTAGCCAGGAGGGGAGCCACAGATGTCGCACGCTCCCGTCCCCACCAGCGCAGTTGCTGTTTCGTTGACAGGGTGCAACCTGAAGATCTTCAACAACCAGGAGTTTGCCGCCCTCCTGGCTCAGTCTGTCAACCAGGGCTTTGAAGCCGTCTACCAGTTGACCCGAATGTGCACCATCCGCATGAGCTTCGTCAAAGGCTGGGGAGCGGAATACAGGTCGGTTGTGGGTGCTGCCGGTCCAGGAGACTGAGGACAGCAGAGCTGAGCTGGGCCAGGCCTCACGCCTGAGAGCAGTGAGAGGCCGCGGGCTGGCAGGCGGAGGGGCCGGCTCAGCCCCGGCGATGAGCAGAACAGCGCTCCCTCGTGCTTGAGTTTCTCAAGCGCTGTAAACACACACGCCCGTTTCAGGCGCACCACGGCCCTCGGTGGGGACGTTGGCCTCGTCCACTGTTGTACAGATGAGGCAACTAAGGCCTAGGGAGGGAGAGTGACTTCCTGAAGGGACTTCATTCGTAGAAAAGCTGAGCCTAGAACTGTGCCCTCTTGGCTCCTTCTTCATTCTTCATTCTGGGCAGATGGTTCCAGAATGACCCACGCTAGTAAGTTAGGTCTTTACCTCATCGTTCCTGACTCGGGGGCTCTGGTGACCCTGAGGATCCAGGATATTAAAACTGAGAATCAGGGAAGGGAGTAGGAGGTTGGGGTAGTCATAAAGAAACCAAGTTTCCTTGCTCAGAAAAGAAATGATTTTTTTAGAATTCCAGGTGTTGGGTTAACATGGCACTGATACTACTGCCTGGTCTCCTGGTTGAATCTCTCATACCATTGTGGTTTGGGTTCAGAGAACCCAGTCCCTTTTCGTTCCCCACACAGGCAGGAGTTTCCCAAGAGACAGGGCTCTGCACCCCTCCCTCCGCCCCACACCCCGCCGCGAGCCAGCGCCTCGCAAGCTCCTCTCCCCTTCTCTGCGCTTTTCCAGATGTTTGGAATCCATTTTGTTTTGCAGTCATTCTGAACTCAGGCCAAACCCATTTCAGGATTGGCTCTGGGCCACCATTTATAATGAAATCCAGATGAGCATGACTTATGGAAAGTCAGATTCTCGTTAGAGGGTTTCGGTCTGTAAAACTCTCCTCTCGCATTGACCGTATTTTCTGCTCTTCTGTGTCACCGTAGCACCTTGGTCTCTGTGGTCCTTCTGAAATCTGGGAGTGACCAACTGAGCAATTAAAGTGGTCACACTTCAGAACTTACTATCATGTTGTGATGGCCGAAGACATTAAACCAGGCCCAGTGGTCCAGCCAGAAAAACATTTTAGCCAACCTTTGAGCGTTGGCTTAGATCATTTCAGGAACAAGAGTGAAAGATTAGAAAATTAACATTTTTTTTTAGTGGGGAAGGGAAATATTTAAAGATAGACCCCAGGAGCAGGGGGAAGTCCATTTGCTCTTTTCACTCCCAGATTGTCATCCAGAGGGCCATACTTGGGCACCCTTGACCGGGCAGACACCCCAGGGCTGAGTCAGGGACCACTTTGGAGCGTCTTGCCCACTTGGGGCAAGTGTAGGCCAAGTGGGGAGGGCGGCACCTTCAGGACAGCGGCACCGCGGCCCTATAGCTCTGAGTGCCTGCCGGGAAGTGGCTCCTTGGCAGTGGAAGCCTTCCCTGGGGGCACTGTCTCACTGTGCAGGACGTACCGCCAGCACAGCCAGCACAGTCCTGTACGGCCCACCGCATCACCGCCTCCTGGCAGCAAGGCCCCGCAGCCAAACAGTGGGTGTGGCCCTTTCCCAGAATGGTCTTGCCCTTCTCCTGCCTCTTGGGCCAAGGAGAGTAAGGTTTCAGCCCTTCTGTCTGCAAGGTGGCCAACTACAGGGCCCAGGGCCCGGGTCTCTCACCTCCAGCTGGCACCAGTGCCTCCAGCCTCAGCAGATAGCCTTTGCTCCATGGAGGCCTTTGGGAGCTCGCCTGCGAGCTGCGTCATCAACCAGCCTGAATTTAGACAAAGTGCTTTGGGGAAAAGAAACGTGTGGTGTGCCTTGGTTTTTTCCAGTAATTGTTCCGTGGCTCACTCTGCTCATAAGATTTTCCAAAATAAGGCCGTAGATAGGAATTATATCAGCACATTGGGAGCCGAAGGCATGTGGACTCTGTCGGCGCTTTATTAAAAAACACCCCTCAATCAGACAGACACGCGTCATCGCAGCCTGCTGCGGCTGGGCCCTGGTCTGGAGGTGGGGGAGCTACAGGTGCCCATTTGGTATAGATGGGAGCCAGGGAGACCTTTGCCTGGCTGGAGGTCCTCTGCAGTGGGGGCGTCTGGGGTACCTTGGAACGGACCTTACATGTTTAACTCTGTAAGACCCATCTCCTCCCCCTCAAGAGAACCTGATTTACTCAAAGTCCTCCCCTGGTTAGAAGAATTTTACCTGATATTTTCAGCAAGTTATTGGCACCTCCTTTAGTGTAATGTCTGACAAGATAGGATGTATCTCTGGCTTTTAGAAGAAGACTGTCACCAAAGCAGAAAGAGGTGTTCTGACTTGTATGTGTGTCCCTCTGGACATTTTTTAAGTCCCCCACTCCACCCCTTTCCCTGTTTCTTGCAGGAGACAGACAGTGACCAGCACTCCCTGCTGGATCGAGCTGCACCTGAATGGGCCTTTACAGTGGCTTGACAAGGTCCTCACCCAGATGGGCTCCCCAAGCATCCGCTGTTCCAGTGTGTCTTAGAGACATTGGGTGTGAAGGGGGAGGGCGGGGAGGGTGGGCTTGGGGAAAATGGCCATGTAGGAGGTGGAGAAAATTGGAACTCTACTCAACCCATTGTCAAAGAAGAAGAAATTTTTCTCCCTCAACTGAAGTGGCACCAACCTGTTTTCCAAAACATAAAAGCAAACCCAGAGATGGATTTTACGAACAGATGTGTCTGCTGAACACATTTACCCTTAAGCCCCAGTTTGAAGGGCAAGAAATGGCTTCTGCTCTGGTGGCTTGAGTGAACAGGTAGAATTTCACCATCTGCCCCCTCCCCCAGCCTCTTTTTAAAAATGATAGCGATCTGGGATGTCACAGTCCAACAGGAAACACCCCTCTGTCCAGGACTGGAGTGTGGAATTCATCTTAGAAAGATGTTCTAGGTAGGGAAAAGCCTGCTGAGCCATGAGCAGACCTCATGCCCAGCTCTCCAGCGCTTTGGACAAACACCTCAACTGAGCATTCCCAACCAAGCCCTATGTTCTGCAGACCCTGCACCTTGTGAGCTGGATTGCCTTGGGGTGGGGAGGGGACTTGTTTCTCTCCCCTCCCAGAATATACTGAGTGGTGTGTGTTCAGCAGAACGTGCTCAGGGGACAATGGGAAAAGTTGGTGAGAGCCACCTCTTTAAAAACTCTCTTAAATTTGTCCTTTCTCACTTGGAAAAGTTGGAAGGACCTGCCGAGGCTCAGTGTGTATGCAATGTGTAGTTTCTATTATCACATTAATCTCAAAGAGATTTGAATGACGTTAAGGGTTCACATGAAGCAAGAGGCAGTTGTGTGGTGTTTGGGCTAAGGCAGCACTACACTGAGTGCATCTCCAGTCATCTGTGAAAGCTCACCATGTTCTGATGCATACAGCTATATTGGTTTATGTAGTCAGTTGCATTAATTAAATCAACTTTATCATATGCTCCTTTAAATGTTTGTTTTATATTTTTTTAAAAAATCATGGGTTGGTGCATTGACTGGGAAACCAGAGTGGAACCCAGCAACTACTACTCTCCCTTCTCTCCCCAAGGTGAAGCTTTCCCAGGTTTTGTTGAGACACTTGCCAGCGCTTTTGGAAGGTGAAATTTACAGAAGCAAATTCACCAGAAGGGAAAAATTTCAGGCCAACATAGGCAAATGAAAAGGGCTGTTAAAATTTTTTTACACCTTTGAAAATTGCATGCTTTATGCAGAGAGGTCTGTCATCTTACCCTCTGGGATATAAGATTATCTAGCTCATGGTAGAGCATCATCAGTGACAACTCTAGCAGTTATATTGTGTATTAAAAGTACTATTCCCAGTGGCAATTAGGGAGAAGACTAGTATACATTATTTCAACTGGAAAAAAGAAACAAAACCCTCTTCTTTTACTGGCCTTTTCCAGAATACAGCAGACAGAATTGCCACCTGCAGTTTGGTACTTTATTCTTTGCTGCTGTTTTTGTATGAAATGACTTATCCCACATTTTTGCATGGATTTATACCAGGAAAAATAAAGGGATTTCCTATGGAAGTCCTGTCTTATTCCAGGTGAAGGGAAGAAAGTGTATACTTCTGGCAGGTTAAAAACCTTAAATGTGATGAAATTTCTGATGCTATATGAAGATATTGGGGGCTTCCCAGTGCCTCAACTGCAGGACCCTGTGACTCTGAAGCTCTAGCCTGGAGATTTTGATTTTCAGGTACGAAGCTGCTCCTGAAGCCTCCTGGGACATAGGAAAAGATGGAAGGAGCACCTTGGCTGACTTTTGGGAGTCTTTTAGCAGGGGTGTCAACACAGAACCGAGACAATACAAAACCCCTCATTTCCTCTGAGGGCCAAATTCTGCGGGTCTGAAGTTTGTGCCTGGTGTGAAAAGATCTGTGGACTGCTTCTAACAAACAGAGGAAGCCCCCTGCACCTCCTGTATGTGCATTCAGGCTCCTGGTCAGCTCTGAGACTCAGGGCACCAGTATTGCATTTCAGCTTCTGCTGGAGCAATTGTGGTCCCTCTCCTAAAAGCCCTGGGCAGTGGTTTCTGAGCGCTGGCATTCACCACCTGCTGCGCGATCCCCTAAGGGCTTCCTGTGGCACACGACCATTCTCCAGGTGCTTGGAACTGGTTTCAAATGCAGCCTGATCACGTTTGGCTACATCTGGATGGTGTCTTAGAACCCTCAATGTTCAGACCTGAAGTCTACTTCCAGGAGGCCCTTTTTCGTTATTGAACAGACCACTGGAGGAGGACGTGTGAGGAAACTGTAGGCAAGCCCACCTTTGGCATCATGGAAAATAAATTTGGTCCTCTTTAGAGGTTAGGAAACGGTGCCATTCCCATCATAGAGTGCTATATAGGTGCTCTGGCATGTGTAATATTAGTGTCCTTCCTTTAAGTCACAAAACTAGTTTTCTTAGTTTTAAGATCCTGCTTTATGAATGTCATTTATACATCAAAAAACTTTTTTAAAGGACAGTTGAAAGGGGCAAGAGGAAACCAGGGCAATTCTAGAGGTGTGACAGTGGCTGCTGGACAGCAGCTTTAAGTGTAGCTTGTCCAGGTGACATAACCACATGCAGTCCCCTGCCCCTGGCTCCCTGCCATGTCTTCACCTTGCAGCTTGGGCTGACACTGACCCAAGTGGCACTGGGGCATAGATCCTTGTCTTCAGCACCTCCCGAGGAGCCAACTTTTACTCCCCCCCGCCCCCTCAACTTTATTTAGTAACTTAGATCCTTCCGGCCCATATGTAGGTAGCTACCCCAGCTGGTTTGGATTACAGGCCTGTGCTGGAACATCATCTCAGTTGGCCACCTTCCTGGCAGGCTGTAGAAGAGCTGACATTTTGAGACAAGCCTAGAGTCAGGAGCAGGGACTTTGACTCTTTAACTTAGGAAGAACATACATGAGGGCAAGGCTGCTGGCAGACTTTTCCATTGTCCTTATGTTGTCTGTGTATTTTTTTATTGACCGTGATTATTTTTTTTAAATCATTGTTAATGTATTGAAATGAGCTATAGCACATATCATGTGCTTAGTTTGTTTTGTTTTTGTCCATCTCCCCTTGGCTTCCTAGAGTTTGGACATATTCCAGGGCTCAATGCTTTTACTCAAACCACAGGAGAAGGGTTTTCTTTAAGTGGCGTGTGCATGTCATGCATGTATGTGAGTAGTCTGGGGAGAAGGCAAATATCTGATTTCATTCTTAGTCCTAAGCTGCCATTTCTGAGGCTCATGATCGTCTCCACAGGGCCAGAGCTCAAAGTAGGCCACTCTCCTTAGTCCTTAAGAGGAGGAGGAGGGAAAAGAATCTGTAGGCTACTCATGGGACTGTTTATCAAGGGGGCTACCAGTAGCAAGAGAGCACAAGTTCAGCTCTGGACCTGTTTCTTACTGTGTGACTTTAAATGGCTAGGGTTGGGAGTTTCCCCAAAACACACACATGTCCCCATATTACTAGAAGAAAATCTCAACACAGCTAAGTTGTACCATTTTAGTTTGTGTGGCATAAATGTTCCTTTGTAGGACCCCTTGAAGTGCCAGTCTTCACAATGTACATCACCCTTTTAAGGAGCATCAGCCACTTCTTAAGTGGGTGGGGAAAGCAGAACAATGTATGCGAGAGGATATGGATCAGAAATGAAGCTGAAGCACCTCCAATGGGAGGTGTCAGCCAGTGGGGAAAATGACTTGATGTCGAGGCAACTTTTCAGAAACACACCTACCACAGAAAAGAAACTCTCGTGTAAACTGGATTGAGCAATTCTCAGTGGTTCTGTAATTGATTTTCTTTTTAATGCAGAAATAATGTATACTCTAGCGTTCTGGTGTTTTTATATTTATGTAATAATTTCTTAAAACTATTCAGACAGATAACTATTTAATTTTTTTAAGAAAGTTGGAAAGGTCTCTCCTCCCAAGGACAGCGGCTGGAAGAGCTGGGGCATAGCCAGTTCTGAGTGTTGGTGGGGAGTGTAGTGGCTTTTTTGGCTCAGCATCCAGAAACACCAAACCAGGCTGGCTAAACAAGTGGCAGCATGTAAAAACAGGCAGCTGAATCAAATCTAGGCCCTTTCACAGGGGTCCTCTGACCCAGCCCCCTGCCCCTTCTAGGGGTGAAAACTTTACACAGAGAAATGGAGCCGTCTTCACCCAGGAAGCCTTCACTCCCCTTCACTGCTGCTGTGCAACCAGGTGTCTGGACTCCCTTTCCATCGTGTGTGGTGGGGGTGGGGAGTAGAACGTGGAGGATGTTGATTATCTTTACTATTCAGCCAGCCTGACCTTTTATGATCTTTGTAAAAAGCATGTACGTATTTATAGTGTTTTAGATTTTTCTAACTTTTGTATCTTAAAAGCAGAGCACCTGTTTGTTTAAGAATTGTACCCCTACTGTTAAAGATGTGTGTCCTTTCTCTCCTCCTCTTCTTCTTGTAAATGCCCTTCTAATAAACTTTTCATTGAAAAGCTTCTGTGCCAGGAGTGCAGTCTGATTCTTGCTGCTATGTCTGGGTACAGAGAAGATTTTAAATGGAGCCCAGAGAGGTCCCAGGGGCTTCAGAGTTCAGCTCAAGCGGACCAGAGGAAAATGTCTGCAAGCCCAGATGTACTTTGACCAGTGATGTGCCAGGCCGTATTCTGCCAGTCCGCATTCACTCACCAAAGGCAACATGCAATGCCAGCCAGTCCTTCAGTGACAGCAGGAGTCCCTGGATCAGCTGCACAAAAGTCAGAAGTTTCTCAGTCAGTGCATCTCCCTGATCCCCACATCTAAACACTGCACAAGTCCCACTGATGCTTTCTCTGCAATGCCATTTCGTGTTCATTTCCCCAATACTTGAAGGTCTTTGGCAAATGACTGAATGCTACCACTCAAATCTCAAGCTCTGCCACCTCTTGCTTCTGCTGGTCCTCTCCTGGCCTACCTCTTCCATACTGTTGTGTGTCCTAAATGCCATCAGATTAGTCTTCCCCCAGGCATGGAGGTAGTTTTAGATTCATAAGTCACATACTTTCCAGTTCAGATGACTTTGTCTATTAGCTCCTGTGAAAATTTATTTTGAATTCAAAACTCCCAAGGAGAAAGACTTCAAAATTGTTTCCTTGGCTGAATCTGTAGCAGTCTTTCTTCTAAGGTCCTCACCAGAGTCCACACATTTCCCCTTACCAAGAGGAAGGCAGATTTCACAGTAAGGGCACATATGGGCCTATAGATTTGGCCTCCATGAAATCACATCAAATTCCTGCCTTTATGATTATTCTTTGGCCAATTCTTTCACCCACCTGCCCTCTAAACAACTTTTCCCAAGGTTTTATATAGTCGATAGTTCTCAACAGTTGACTCGCAAATTGGTACCTTTAACCCAACCTGTTCCATGAGCTCCACAACTTTAAATTCCAACTACCTGTTAGACATGATCCAAAACATAGCACCCCCAAACTGGCCGCTCCCCTCCCTTCATCCAAGTCCTGAGCAGCGTGATGCATTTGTCCTTGCTCTCCATCACCCCTTTGCTATAGGTGTCCCTGTTGATCAAATCTCCCTTCTGGAAAGGCCCTTCTGGCTGAACTTCCTAGCTCTCCTCGGCCCTCTCATGCGTTCCGCTTTTTCTTGGGCCTACCTCTTCTGCCTACTTCTTCCTCATTGGTGTTCCCAGACCACTGTATGTTCTCTTGACATTCCTCTCTGAGTGATCTCATCTACCCTTATGATTTCATGCCACATAAATGCTAATGACTCTTAAATTAGTACTTATAGCCCAGACATCAATCCTGAGCTTCCGACTCATGTCCAACAGCCTGCTGGCTACTGACACGTGGAAGTGCCATGAGTGCCCCAAACTCACACTTTAAAACACAATTTATCATTTCTCTTATTAAATCATCTCCCTCTCCTCTGGGCTTCAGCCCCAGTTTTGACACAACCATCTACCCAACCTACATATGGAAAATG